TATATATATATCAATTTGGCATTCTACTTCCTCTATTCTGTAACATGCATACTGCTTTAAGATCGCACAAGGTCATACATGTTCTAAACATACCATTTTACTCATCTGCTTGAAGTTTGGAAGCTTGAAAAGATTTACTAAATATAGATAAAATATGTTCATCATATTGATACAACCGTTTTCAGCGTCACCTCTTTGTCCACGTCCATTGACTGAGATAATTTTTCTCATAGATTTATTTTTACATCAGAAGTTATCCGTTAAGCGTAAGACGTATTGAAAACAGTGTTGAAGCAAATTATGGTGTTAAAAATTCATCTTATTAATTAACCCTTTCAATCTGTTAACTGAGGCAAAAGACAAAAGCATAATACAGAGGAGTCCGCTAAAAACGAAATCTGCATGACTGCCTGTTTTTCTTCGGTTTATTTGGGTTTTCGTTGTAAAGAGGCGTCTCAAATATTTAGAAAAAACAATATGGAGTTTTATTACTTTAGGTTTAACGCTGGTTTCGAAATAACTTTGTCCGGGTTAATGGGACTCCTCTGTACACCAAGTAGGCCTACACAGGTTATACATATCAGCCCAAGAATCACACAAAAATAATATGTGAATTCAAGCGCGATAAGAAACTAATTAATCTCGTTCGAATTCTCGTTCACGTGAAGTCGACGTCAGTGATGTTATCTTTTTCTTGGCCACGGTTGATTGATTGGGAATGTTTTGCGCCCCTGTTGACTTAGTTTTGATAATTTAGGAAGCGGGCTGCTTCGACCTTGTCTGTCAAGGCCAACCACCAAGGCTGAGTGGGACACAGAGCCAGAGATGACACCTCTGTAAATAAGTTAATTTACAGTCCGTCCGATCCTCACATCGAAAAGATGTCACAGAGAAAGACCTGTTGCCACAGAATAGCAGCAACAAAAATAAATAATAATACTTTTTTTAAAAGTCGTTTTTAGAAAAATGTAGCTTACGTGTTTCTTGACCTGAACCGTCAATTTGTACTGTATACAAAATAAAGATACTAAATTAGAAAAGAAAAAGATGCTACATTAGGAAAAAAAATTACATTCCAATTTTTTTTAAACCTTCCTCATACACGAAATCGAGCTCCAACTTCCAAGTCTTCTGCATGCAGCTGCGAATAGGGTACTCATTCCACAGACGTCTCTCTTTGTGGTCAATTTTCTTTTCTTCTGGTTAGACAAGTAGTCATGACATTCAAACACATGCTTTATAACGTAATCACTATTCTTGTTTTTTGTTGTTTGTTTCAGATTCTGACCTGTTGGTTTTGACTGTACGTGAAAAAATCACTGGTTATCCTGCTAGATCTAGGCCTTGTTTCAAAAATTCAAAAATCTGACTGTGAAAACAATAACGACAGAAATATTTGTGGTTAAAGCAGCGGCGAGAGAAGCAAGAACAGCAGCATCATATTTGGCTCAGATCATCGAGCAGCAACGAAAACGTCACCCTTTATAAAGTACATCTACAAGCAATAAAAACAAAACTGAACATAAAACAAAACTATCAACGATAACAACAGCGGCGTCGGAAGAAACAACAACTGCTACGCAAAAAAACAACAAAAAAGCGACGCAGCAAATTCGTTAAACAAGATTTTTCTACAACAGCAATAACAGCAACATCTGCAACAACAGCATCGACAACAGCAACAGCGACAACGACATAAAACGACTTTTCGTCGTCGCTAGTGTGTGAGAACTCGCTGAAAGGAGAATATATTTGTGGCTTCCGTTGTGGGTGAAGCAGCAACTAGAAAAGTCACTTGTGTCGGCCATGTTGTGAGCGGTCAAGCATCCACGCACAGACGAACATACAGACAGACAGACACACACACACACACAGGCACACGCTGACGGGATTCATTGCTGGACAGAGGATCATGTCGGT